AATAATAATAATAATAATAATAATAATAATAATAATAATAATAATAATAATAATAATAATAATAATAATAATATTCTTTTATTATTATCCAATAAATTTCAACAATATGATTAATTATTTACATATTGTGTTCTCTTAGTTTTAGCAAAGGAGCTCGAGGGCTATCGACCCTTGCCAAGCCTTTTGGCAGTTTTGCGCTTCGCCGCCCACTTCTCCCACTTCCTCCGCCCACAGAAAAATTTTTATCCCGCGATCTCTCGCTCCCCCCGTAATTCGGCCTCGCTGGAGACGACCACGCCGGTCTGCCGGCCGCCCCGCCGCCAATGACTATGATGACCCCGCCACCGCTCGAGGTACTCCGTTCGCCGATTCCCTTCCCCCAACTCATCACCTCTCTCCCATCGTCTCCAATTTGCTATCACTTGCTCTTGTTTTTTCACTCCAAGATCTCCTTTTGTCCCCTCTATTTGCTCTTTTACGGTGCCCTTCCTCCCGCTTTACTCTCCTGTTAGGGTTCCAAGGCACGCTGCTGCCGTATTAATCTGGTTGAATTAACACAGCAGCCATGCCTTGGGGCTTTAATTCGATGTACTGTGTGCGTCTCCGTTGGATCTGAGGTTTGATTGGTACTATGTTTATTGCAGCAAGAGGATGACGAGATGCTGGTCCCCCACCCGGAGTTCACCGAAGGCCCCCAGCCGATGGAAGGTCAGTCAACCTTTCCGTATAAGGAGAAATTTGCCGTTGATGGATCGGTTTTTGTTGACTTCTCGATGGTCATTGTTATCGTTTCTCTAGAAGATATGTTTTTTTTTTTGGTATGATATTTAGGGTTTTGATTGCTTTATCTGTTGTCGTGGTTTCATCTAGCGGCTCAAGTTGAGGCTCCCACTGTGGCGGAGAACCAGTCGGTGGAGGATCCCCCTACCTCGAGGTTCACATGGACGATTGAAAGTTTCTCGAGGCTGAACACTAAGAAGCTTTACTCTGATATTTTCGTTGTTGGAGGCTATAAATGGTGAGATTATAACTGATATTTCTCAACGGGGGGCTTTGATGTCCATAATTTGTGTTTTGACTGATCTTTTTCTGTTTCTTTCTCATTCCATTGTAGGAGAATCTTAATCTTTCCTAAAGGGAACAATGTGGATCACTTGTCCATGTATCTTGATGTTGCTGATTCTGCTACTTTGCCTTATGGTTGGAGTAGAAATGCACAATTTAGCCTGGCTGTTTGTAATCAAATTCACAGCAAGTTCACTATTAGAAAAGGTATTGTTATAGTTTCTTTATTGGAAGATTTACATGTATACCACTCAATTCATATGTATTTACATATCTAACACCTATATTTCAAATTCTACATACATGCCACCCTACCTATTCATGAAAGGGTGTATTTCTCTTTTGAAAGTTAAAATGGTGGTATTTTTGATATGATATGAAAGACTTGGGTGGTATACATGTACGAAGTAAATTTTAAGTGTTAGATATGCGAATACATAGGAATTTTGGTTGTATGCATGTAAATGTCCCTTTATTCTATTAATGAATTGCAACTGCTTGAAAATTAGAATGCTGATCAATAATTTCTATTTTTGGGGATGTTTCTCATTTTGTTAGAAATATCCATGGAGCAAATTTTTCTCTATCATCCTTGAGTGCTTTGCAATTTTGGATTTTTATAACATGGGCTCTAATTGGATTTTACATGGTTAAGTGGCATTGCAAATGAATTGGCATTGTGTGTCTGTGTGTTTTTTTTTGGGTAAAATTGATGTTATTTTTTCTCTTTACAAATCTAAGCTGGAATTTATATTGAAATTCTCTTGGCAGCCTTTCATTAGATACATTTTATGTAGGTGGTTAACTCTCTTTTTACTGTCCTATACTATGAATTAATCAAACATGAAACAGGCAATTTGTATTAAGCTATATTTGCTGGGACAATCTCATATTTCTTTTTTTCTCTTCTCATTGTTGTTTGCCAAGCTTTTGTTTGATTCATCTTATAGAAAGTCATTGTAGTTCCCCAATTAGAGGAATGACTTTGTATTAAATGAGAGTGGAATTGATAATAGGGAAAACCATATATATATATATATATA